AAATTAAGAGCATTAAGTGAAAATAAAATCCAGCGAATCATAAAGCCTGTACAGTAATTTGTTGAACCGTCCATGGAGAATTGTTTCATTACGCAAAAAACGAAGTAATTCGATACTTTGTCCGAAACATCTAGTAATATTGAATAATTACCAATTGTATTTACAAACCTTCTTCCATTTTCTATGTATTGTATTTATCAGCCTTAGCAGTTTTCATTAAAAAAAATCATCCCAAAGGCAAAAGTGTAACCACTATCGTGAAACGATGAAACTAAGCGTAGTATTACAATTACAGGTGGAGAGAATATATGAAACTAACCCACGGTAAATAAATGTTATGGTAAATTGTCTTCACCTCTGTTAAAAAAGCTCGAACACGAAAATAAAAACAATTGATTACAGCCATGCCCCCCCCCCAAACGCATGACGATTCGTATCATCTGGATTACGCATAGCTTCTCTGCGATTTACGCTCCGTATATCTTAAGCGTAGCTTGGACCCCCCCCCCCAAAAAAAAATACATTTTGCTGGATCCACCACTGATCAATATGTCGGTGATTCGTTGCTAGCGAGTAAGCTTTTGTCTTTCGAATACAAATTTGCCGAATTAAGAAGTGTGTATTCACTGTGTCTGAGTGCTCCGTTTATATGTGCAACACAGTTTTCCGGAAGTTTAGCTTGTCACTTTGTGTTTGAGAAATTCTGACCCCAGTGGTAAACAACATAGTAAACGGATAAACCGACTTTACCTAGTACAGTGGTTCCAGTGTCTTTTTATCAACTGTTGGGATTATAAAATTCGTTAAACATGGTTTATTTTAAATCGTCGTTGACACCCATTTATATATAGCGATTATTCGAGCTTACATCGCACCCAATGCCTTGTTCTAACAAATATGGTTGTAGTCATATAAATAATTTTATCAATTTCTGACAACAGATTCTATGATGTCATACCCATGATCCCTTGCTTAAGAATCAAGACGGTTGACTACATAACACCGATGAAAAGTTGAATATCTATAGAATGAAAACTTGTATAAAAAACTGTAAATAGCATTCTCCTACATTTGTGGAGCTTTTTCCTTAGGAGTCATTATGTTGTTTGGATTGATGTTTCCTTGAGCTTAAATACACTGAATTGAACTAGACTGAACCCCTGCACGCATTGTGGTATTGTGGTATATAAACGTACACAATTGGCGAAGACGGTACAAGATTACTGTAAATGACACAGCACATTTCTTTGTAATTCTTTTCACAGGCGAGCTGAATAAATCTATTGTGAAACATTGTATTTACGAGGCAGGTTAGTGACACACTTCTTAAGTATATCGGGAGCTTTTGGCCCCAAGTTGGCGACACTGGCCGATGATTTTAGTAGTCGTCAATTCGAATAGTGTCCATCCCACTGGTCAAGTCGTGAACTCAATCAGGAGAAAGAAATTGGCGAAATAGGGGCATAACTGAATCCATTTTTAGCTCGCCTCCTCTGTACGAGTCCCAGACATATAGCCGAAAATAATGACCCACAGACTGATCAATACCAAATCCTACTAGACCTTCAATTTGATCATTAGATGGCTAGGCCAGCCTTCAAATTGTTGAAGTGGACATACGTTAACCGAGGTATTATGATATCTGCTATCTGTGTTACGCTTTCAATATCACAAGTTAACCAAAAGACCTTGTTAGACCACTCACAATGAGTGAGTCCTAAGTTATTTACGTATTCCATAAAGTAATGTACACGACTTTGTTTTTTACAGCAATGTTTACAAGTGTAAACCACATTTAGTTAAATACGTCTTGCTGTTGTGATATGGTCAAAGAAATAATTCAACTTTTCCCATAAAAATGTGTTACATATCCACGAAAATGACATGACTGGTATCTGTATGGTAAACTAATCGCACATCTCAAAATTTGATTTGGTAATATACGAGGAAAGAATCATTATGTAGTTCCAATTATTAGTAATTATTTGACTGTTTTTCTTCAAAAAAAATACTTTTTTGCAAAGATAAGATGATTACGTGTGTCCCAATTAATAAGTTGGTATACACCAAAGTCCATCTATCACATAGGGATAGAAGATAGGAGGACTGTGAATGCATTTTTGAAACTGGATTATCTGTGGTCCTATTTCATTGGTCGAATGTCCGCGAGGGACAACCTTTACACGATTTCTGCACATGTGAATACACGTTGACAATAGGTGAAGTCGCAGCTCTGACGTCTGACAGCAACTTCAACTTGTTTTGTGCTTCGAACCCTAAACCTTAAAAGACATATGTCTTTTAAGGTCTATGTTTGAACATGTATTGAAAATTAACGCGTGTCGTGCTAGAGACAATGCCCATCTCAAGACATACTCACTCACGCATATTTTTGGTAATATGTCCAACCATGCATATAAACACTAGAAGGTTTCACTTGTAGAACTCTGAAATGGTAGCATCGCGACGTCAAGGG